GAAATATTGCTGAATCTATCTATGAAATATTGCTGAATCTATCTAAGAAATATTGCTGAATCTATCTATGAAATATTGCTGAATCTGTCTATGAAATAATGCTGAATCTGTCTATGAAATAATGCTTAATCTGTCCATGTGTAATCTACTCTCTCTGTCATGTTTTATTTTGATTGATGTTATTTTGTTTGACCTCTTGTTACACACTTTGTGTGTCAGAGCGTAATAAAAAAATCTTGAAATCTTGGTCAGTGTTGTAATTAATACGCTAAGAATTATGTCTCGTGCGGCATGGTAATTAAAGTCCCATCAACGACACAGCTCTCAAAGAGGCTATATAGTGACAATGCCATGCAAATGTAAATATTATATCTTAATCTGTCAGTTGTCTGTAGTTAATGTGACCCCAAAAATGTTTATATTGGAGTAATGAAAATATTTTGCTATTCCAAAGATTGCATAATGCCATTTTATTCTGGTATCTGAAACGTTATGAACTTCACCACCACCAACGGAGGAAATTTCAGAGCGTCAGAATCAAATACAAGAGACCGTTTATACAGTGTAAAACGATGGACTTTATATCGATGTTATATCGAATCATTGTACCAGAGCTTTAGTAAAGCATTCAGACATAATACATTAAGTCTTAAGGTACTCGGTAGCTGATATAGAAATGCGTAGTTTACTTACAATTATATATACAGTGTTTGGCACAGTTTACATATGGTAGTTTGGACACAGGTTTGCCTCGTCGTATTAAGATATAATAAACGCTGTAGAATTAAACGTACATAACCTGTGTGGTTTAATATTCAGTCTCCTGTTAATTATAGGACACCCAACACTTAAAATGTTACGTAACTGGCAGACATTCCTTTTCTGTATGTATAAAAGTATGTGTCAAATAACTTATCAAGTGGTCAGTCCAGACTTTCTTACATTCAGGAGCAGCCATTGCTATCTAAGTCCGACCTGCAAGTAACCGCCGCATATATACTCGGCATGAAATAAATGTAAACACAACCTCAATGAACTTGTCTCATCCATCAATCAACGCTTACCCCAGATCCTATAAAATAGACAGCTAGTTTGACGTTCCCTAACGCGTCGCCTAAAATTATTCCGAACGTTCGCCAATCTAACACCTGAACATCATTTTGCTGTTAATGCGCAAGTGCGTTAAACACAGCGTTAGCACCATAACGTTGTGAAAACGGAGTATTGCCGTCCTCAAAAGTCCACCTCGACAACACACCCAATTAAAATTACCATGCTCCGACAACTCTTGTCTCCAATTACCAATCTTAATTCATCCGTGGATAGAACGCTGTTCCATTGGCATAACGCCCATCGACCGTTAGTATGGGCCCAATTAAAATGGTGCGTGTGGTACACGACAACCACGCAATGTCCCCGCGGTCCCACTCGCAGGACGCAGACGCTACAACCTTATCCGGCGTTCGCAACACTGCTGCTTCACAGACGGTCGGGGGTCGACCCGGTTTCGTTCAGATGATGCACAAAACGGTTTACTGTCTTTGCACTGAATTACGTTTCAGGTTTTGATCAGTCATTAGTGTTTATCACGATTTTCTAAAACACATGAAAAGCTCTTTGGGCCACCACAGATTATAGCGCGTGAATGTTTTTAGTAAATAGAGTGTGATTTGGTAGGTATTCCACTCCCATATCCTAAACTACAAAACGTTGATCTATTTTCACCGATATAGATGTAGTTCGCAGGCGTAGGTGTTAACCTTTTTGCCGAGTAGTTATCTGGTTCAGATTTACCTTAAAACATCACCAGACTCAGATTCTATGCTCAAACCTATTTTTCATTTCACAATTCGTCGATGAGTAGGAAGAATTATTGAGAGACTTCAAACTGATTACCATGTTTAAGGTTTAAACTTTATTGTAATGAGACGAAGTTACCCAGTGAATGATTTTAGATATTTACAAGAAAGTTGAAGTGAGAATAAATCGCAAGTCCACACGAGATTATTACTCTCAATCAATTTTGCTGAGAGGTCGGAGCCTACTATGATAAAAGACTTCATCACATTGTGTTAAATCGTTGATGACTTACATGCGATATCATGACCGGTGTTCCATGTGGTGAAGAAACGATTACCTTTCCAGACTACATCAATTCATCTCCGATTTCGTAAATGGTTTATACCTCGTTTTTTGTTTTCTCTAATGTGTGTTTTCTTAGGTGTCTCCTAAAGCTGGAGACGCTTCGGCTGACTTCTAGTGATTCGATGCTAAAGCGCATTCACATAGGCTAATATAGATGTCACCAACGAAATGATCAGTGTCTTGCAAGCGTCTGTGGTCGGAAAATTATCATAAAGACACCAAAGGTGGGCCTCACCAGGCATTGATGTATAGAACACAGAAATTATCCCAGTGTTCATTATGTCTGGTGATTACGTACAGTTGCGTATCACCAGCGTAACAATGATAGGAAAGTTTGTGCAGGCGGCATACATTTCCAATTAGGTTTTAACAGACAGTGCAGATCCTTGCGGAACATCAAAGGAAAAAGTACTGTCATCAAATACAGCGTTGCCTACTTTCACTCTGCCTCCTGTCCGTCAAACAGGAATGGATAAAAAAGTACGCCAGCCGATATACCATATAGATGTTCAAGGCGCGTGAACAATGCGCCACGACCAATGACATCAAATGCAACATACATAGAGATGCAGCCGCCATGAACCTGGTCAATAGTTTGTAACAATGGCTTGTGGTAATACCATGATAGTTTAATCAAAGTTATTATCAGTTGCATCCACTTTCCCAGGATTTAGGCAAGAAAGGTAAGTTGACACAATTTTCTCTCTCTTCCATTTAACGGATGTGGTGTCATTGTTAAGGAATTGGAATTGATATCACAAAGTTCATTTCTGATTTTTGTTATTTTCTCTATCAATTGGTTGTGGCCACATTTACACCAGTGTATGTGTATTTTTATATGTTTGTGTATAAATACAATAAATAATTGTTGGGAAAGTGTTGGCGTCATAGACTAGGTTTTGGAGACATATGGAGGGAGACACAAAAAGAATATATTCAGGAAAAAGTGACCAGACCTTGACAAACATTGGTAATTTTGCAAGTTTGCAAATTATACAAGGGAAGGTATATCAAGATTTTACTGTACAATATTTTCTTCTTTCAGCTTGTGAGAGAAGTTATCAATGGCGTTCCTAACTAGGAGATGTTTGTAAAACATGTATCCCAATTTTGATGGAAGCGAAGCTTTGCGTATAATCTAATGAAGACATCCTGATATCCAGGGGTTATGCTCATTTTCGCTCTCTGCACCCCTGGAATATGGCATAGCATTATTGAAGGCACGGGGCTAACTATTTGATTAGTCTCAGGTCAAAAAAGCCTCACCAATCGCTAAGTGGTTACCTGTTCTTCGAAGATAACTGAGGAGCGACACCAGACTTCAAAGCCAGTCAATTTTACCGTTATGCGACTACATGATTCTTTTGATGTACATCAAAGGTTCAAATTAGTTTTCTTGTCTCACCCTAAAGGTGGCAAACACTGAGCCTTAAATTTGTGTTGGCATATTCCAGAGGTACAGAGAGCGTAAGTGAGTGTAGCCCCTGGGAGTATCGAGGATGAACCCAAGAAGAAAGTCTAATCAAAATCAGTAAAGAATAATATAGGTGTGAGTGACCTACATTTCATATATTGATATAGTACTTATAACGATGTATCCAGTTGATCTACACATGAAAACAGATGACAGCTGGACTTCCAGTATCACCAGTGATAAGTATCAGGTTTGTAGTGAGGACATTATTTATTTACACAACAGGTAACCAACATTCATAATAAATAAAATGATCTAATGTTTTAACAGGTAAAATAATTTCTTGCAAACCCCACTACCTGTGACATTAAAACATACCGAGATATGTGTATGAATAAAAGCATTGTGTTTGACGGCCATCTACCCTATCATTCACAATACAGCATCACTTCATAATGTCTGTCAATTATTCTTAAATCAAAGAAGCAAAAAAACATTCAATACATGCATTTTGATGCAATATGTGATCTTTTGAACACACAAGCGCATATAAACCTAATTTTCAAGTTTTGGAACATTTTAAACAAACAACCTTACAACACAAAAGATTTCCATTTCCATTAATTTGTGACACGGACCCTTTCAAATATGGCGATATCATTTTGACTGGTAATGACTGATAAGCTCATAATGTGTCAATAGAATTTCTTCGGTTTACAAAAAAAAATTTGATTCAAGATTACCATTGACCTCATTTTGTGGTCCTTGATATCAAAGTAATGGTCCCAAATATATCCTATATTACATCTAATAATAGTGTATACATATGTAGTTCTAGGAATCTTCATCACTTTAGAAGTTTGCTCCAAAGTTTTTTTTGGTTTGTTCGTGTTTTACGTCCTATTAACAGCTACGGTCATTTTAAGGACGTGCCAGATTTTGGTGGTGGAGTAAAGCTGGAGTTCCCAGAGAAAAACCACCGACCTACGGACAGTACCTGGCGACTGCCCCATGTAGGCCGTGAACCCACAACCCAGTGGTGGAGGGCTAGTGGTAGCACAGTGTCGGACGCCTTAAACACTTGGCCACCGCAGCTCCAAAGCAAATTGTGTGGCAACACAGCAGTAAAAAATATCACTTTTATCTCAAGAGCAATCCACTGATAATCTTTAAATCACTGGAACCACTGTCTATCAGCCTAGGGACAGGTCATTTCTGATGTGTGGAACGATAACCAAGCAAATAGCTTACTGTGAACCTGAGCTCTGTCATGACAAAATCAAATAATACAGAAAAAATCAGCATGTAGAGAGAAGAATATTTGACGTTTGAAGATGGTATAAGTAGAAATACATACAAGTTGATTCACTCTGTTACAATGAAATACATTGTATTAAAACCTACATATTATATTTACACTATATAATTAGTATAATACACCTGTCTAAGTGTTAACATACCCTATGATACCATGTCTTATACACACTGTGATACACACACCATGTGATACACACCATGTGATACACCATGTAAAAACGTGATTAACATACCCTATGATACCATGTGTTATAAAAACTCTGATATACACACCTTGTGATTCATTGACAATGGGATACACACACCATGTGATTCATGATACATACACCATGTGATACACACACCATGTGATACATACACCATGTGATACACACACCATGTGATACATACACCATGTGACACACACACTATGTGATACTCACACCTTGTGATTCATTGACCGTGTGATACACATACCATGTGATACACACACCATGTGATACACACACCTTGTGATTCATTGACCGTGTGATACACATACCATGTGATACACATACCATGTGATACACACACCATGTGATACATTAACCATGTGATACACACACTATGTGATACATACACCATGTGATACATACACCATGTGGTACATACACCATGTGATACATTGACCATGTGATACACACACTATGTGATACATACACCATGTAATACACACCATGTGAAACACAATTTGTTATGCACACTTTGTGATGTTAATTATATAATACATGTTGCTTTATAAGCATATGATATACTATATACACATAACAGTCTGTACAGATGATTTGTCAGTGTTTTACTTTTAATCCTGAATGAAGAGGTCTTACACTCTGGTGCCGAGACAGTCCGAGACGTAGCCCTGATAGTGGCGATTTTATATTAACACCACCTAGTGAGGAGGAAGGTGACTTTATCCCTCCCGCACCGAATGAGAGACCAGGAGACTTCGTACCAGCGCCACCTAGTGAGGTACCAGGTGATTTCATACTAGCGCCACCAAGTGAAGATTTTCCTGCATGGCCTGGAAAGAAAAAGAGGGTCAACTGTATAATGCAGAAATGTACCAGTCTGACATATTACATCATGATTTACAAATGCAAATGAAACAAGAAGAATTTTCATCTTGTTTTTTTTTTGTGTTTGTACATATAATATATGTATATCAATTTCACTGCCTGATATTAACAATACTAAAAGATATTCGTTCATAAGACCATCAGTACAAGAAGTTGGATGTAAATGGATAGAAACTGGACGTCCACGCGGTAACGCATTCGAATCGTACAGACATTACAAAAATGCAAAAAGGAAATTTCGAAATGAACTAGATCGGGCCAGAAATGAATACGAACAGGAACAATTTCGCAAACTAGAAACGTATGCTGAAATTGATTCGGGAACATTTTATAAAGCTGTGCGAGCAAAGCGAAGGGATACATCAACTTCAAACGAGCTACGTATCGACGGTCATGTTTTACGCGATAGCGATACTATTAGGAATGCGTGGAGAGATCACTTTAGTAATCTCTCAAAACCGTTAACGCAACCGCATTTTGATGAAGATCATCGACAGCAAGTACACGCGAGTGTAAAGGAAATGTTTAAAGAAAGTCACAATAATTTGGACGGTGTATGTGAAAACTTAATACATACAAAAGAACTGAAAAGCGCACTATCGAAAATGAGCAATGGAAAAGCGGGAGGACATGATGGTATCGTTATTGAGCATATAAAGTTACTGGGAGATAAAAGTTTGAGCGCTATCGTTGCCCTATTTAATAAAATTCTGGAAATAGAACGTTACCCGTCACACTTTAAATACGGATTAGTTATAACTCTGTTTAAAGGTGGTAAGAAGGACAGACTTGATGTGAATAACTACCGAGATATTACGTTAACACCGGTTCTTCAAAAACTCCTGGAAAAGATATTATATTTTCGGATAACATCCGTATGTTCCGAAATGGTCTTTCCTCACCCCCTCCAGCAGGGATTTCGCCCGCAATGCGGTAGTATCACGGCTGCCTTTATAGTACAGGAATCAATTGCTCACTACGTAGAGCGTGGATCGAAAGTTTTTGCCGCCTTCCTGGACAATCAAAAGGCATTCAACAGTGTGTGGATTGAGGGACTTATGTACAAGCTATATAATATCGGCTTTAACGGAAAATTTTGGCGGTTACTCTTCGATTCATTTCAAGATGTGTACTCTTCAGTCTTATACGAAGGGAAAAGGAGTGATAAATACCCTATTTTACAGGGAGTAGGTCAGGGAAGGACATTATCCGCGTGGTGTTTTTTAATTGTTATAAACGATTTGATCGTTCATCTAGACGAGCTTAATCAAGGGCTGAAACTCGGGAGTCATCACATCCCGTGCGTTTTCTTAGCGGATGATACGTTATTGCTTGCAGCGTCCAAATGTTTAGTGCAAAAACAACTAGATGTGGTGTATTCATATGCTAGCAAATGGAGACTCAACTATAACCATTCAAAAAGTTCAGTGATGGAATTTACAACTAGTCAGAGCAGGTCCAATGCTGGAAACTGCCTAATACCATGTACGCTGGGGGACAAAATTCTGCCGTGGTCTGATTGTAATAAATTTGCTGGAATACACTTCACCAGAAGTCTACAGTCGAATACCGGCATTTCCGAATCTTGTTCTAAAGGAAGGAAAGTTTTAAACTCGCTATTAGGTATCGGATTACACCCATATGGACTAAATCCGCTCACAAGTGTTACCATTATAAAGCGCATAATCATACCTGGTATGACATACGGATGTGAGTTATGGAACGACTACAACCAGACATCTGCGGACTTACTAGAACGCACCCAACGATATGCCTGTCGGCGCTGTCTAGGGCTACCAAAACGTTCATCGACTGCCGTTACAACTCAATGTCTAGGCATATACGATATAGCAAAGGAAATCGAAAGTAAAAAGTTGATGTTCTGGAACAAGCTCTGTAATGGAACTATGGATTTTATGTGGAAACTCGTTTTTATTGTTAGAATGAGTAGTTTTTTGTATGGATATTCATCGGTAAACCAACGAGGATTTATTCCAGACGTTTGCAAAACATTCATGAAATTTAAAATACAGTGTCTATTCAGAGACTTTATTGTTAGCCCGATAACTATACCAAAACACGCATGGAAACGCTTTATTGACAAATTTATGTCAGACCGGTATTACAATAAATGGAGAGAAAAACTGAGTGAAAAACACGAACTCCGACGTTACTCTGTGATCCATACGACACGAGGCCCTAGCCCGTTATTACTTCTAAGCATGAAATATACACCGTTTACGTGGGACATAGTGTATATCCTCAAATTATCATTTACTTGGGAGAACACTGGCGTTGTTTGTAAACTGTGCTCGAAGGAAAGTAGTGATATTGTGACACACTTTGTCATCGAATGTCCAGCCCTATTTCATAGTAGAGATATGTTTTTAGAGAAAGTTGTAGACTGTAGAAATGTGAATTCATACGCTGACTTTTCATTTTTGGAAGAAAGCGACCAAACAAACTTCCTTCTTGGAGATCGAACTAAAGTATCACTACCAGATGAGGAATGGGAGCAACTTATGCTAGCAGTAGCCACCAATATTAAACACCTATTGAAAGATATGAACTCTGTTCTGTAGATGTTTCCCGATATTCTGTAACAATCTCTTATGTAAGAGGAAATAAAGAATATCTATCTATCTATCTATTAATTTCACTGCCTGATATTAACAATACTAAAAGATATTCGTTCATAAGACCATCAGTACAAGAAGTTGGACCAGTGTGATGTTGAAAATTTTCCTTCAGCTGCTTATGATATTAGACCATGCTAAGGAAGCAAACATTTAGGTGATGTTTGGCTGTTTAAGGATATTTGCACTAATTCTACAGACACCTTATTAATGCAAACATTATTTTATATTTAGATCACTAACAACTTTTTTTTTTTACATTTTTATACAATAAAACCTTTGTTATCTGACATATAATGGTCAGATAATGCAGGTTATCTGAATACACAGGTTTTATTTGGTATTTGGTTTAATTGGGTAAATTAGAAATTGGATTGCCATTATGATGAATAAGATAAGTCCTGGATATACTGAGTATACTGAGTAACAGATAGCCAATCATAGGTTTCACTGTTACAGTAATCATTCATGTGATACTGGGCAATCTGCTTCAAATAACACAAAGAATATTGGCTTGGAATCCACTGATCAATGGACTTTGATTATTGGCAGGTTATATGTATGTGCCGTCAATATCTACACATGTTACATTTATGTGCCGTCAATATCTGCACATGTTTTCTCTAAAATTTGATTTAGAAATTTGGCCTGAGATATTGTTACGTCCAGGATGCTAGTTGAACCTGGATCCTGATTTGTAATGATAAAAAGTTCTTCAATTTCTCTTTATAATATTTTTAATGTTTTTACACTATTTAGAGAAGATTTCTTAATTAATAATATAATAATATACATTTGATGTAGTGCCCTATCTAGCTAGAATAAGCCACTCTAAAGCGCTTTACAGTACATAGATATACAATTTATACAATATTTCTGAGGAATTCCCAGGAGCTGCCTTATTAGGCGTTAACTGCTAGTCCTATGCCACTTGCTAAGATCTCCCCATGTGTGTATGCCTGCATGTGTGCTGGAGATGTATTGTGTGTGTTTGTAGTGGGACCGTGCTTCCAACGGTATCATTTATAGTGCCACCTCACTTGAATGCTACAGCACAGATACCCAAACATCCACCCCAGACCTTTTTATACTCAACCTGGTTTGTTGGAGTTGTGTGGGCGGGAGAAAAATACTTTCTCTGAATATTCCATGTGTATAACGACTTCGGGGATTGAACCCCGACCCCCTGCATGGGAGGCCAGAGTGTTAACCACTCGACCAATCCGCCCATAATTCAAGCATTATTCAGCATTTGTAGGGGAAATTATGTTGTACATGTGTTATATATAAATGTGCCACTGACAAATTGTAAAAATATTTATGAATCTGCCACAACTGTAATTTTATAACATAAAAAATCAAATTATGCATGAAGTTCACATAAATAACGCTTCCAATAGCATGGTGTTCTGTTTAAACAATTTATTTCACCAAAACTCCATTAAAAATTGAATTGGCACTGGTTTTACAAACCAATTAAGCATCCTACATGCACATAAGAGATTATCCATGTAGAGTAGATGCATATTACCGCAGTACATACATGTATAGCAATCAATTTTACTTAAAAATACATATTCATAATCAGGAGAGGTAAAGTGTATAATTCAAAATTAATGTAGAGTGTGGCATATACATGAAAACACCTATGAACCAGGACAAAGGCTAGCTTCACAAACTGAGCTGAGCCTCGTTAATCTAACCAGCACTTATCTGGCTATCTCATTAGGTTTAGGATACAAGATGACCCTTTTATATACATTATTGCTGCAGTATCCCCAAATGTCTCAATTATGATTCTATCATTTTACTTGGAACAAATCCCAAGTTGGCTGGCTTATTTTTCTACTAGTACTGCACTTGGTGAGACAAATAGATTCTGGAGGAAAACAGACTTTTTCTTTTAAACTGCAGTTCAGACTCTGTCGGAGAAATTAGCATGCTAATGCTGATTTTGCAAAGACTGCCTCTTGATACTGCATCTGTGTAGATTTGTCTGTAATTGATACCCAACAGCAATTATATACAACTAGAATTTTGTTTTTGTGAACAAAAACATATGTCTCCCCTTATTAGCCAATAGAAAACTCTGGTATAGAAAATTAACAAAGGGCCATATCACTTTATATAGTGGGGCACGAGACCCGAATTTAGAATGTGACACTCCTACTTCCCAAGATACATTAAAACTATAGCAAGTTTGGTCAACGTATGTGAAACTAGAACACTGACAGGTCAGTAAGGGCCCATTCTTGTGGTAATATATCCTCCATAATCATCGAGAAGTAATCTGCCCATATAGCTGAGCT